AGACGTAAGTGCGATTACTAGTGCGGCTTACCGATTATGAAAACTCTTCTTTTGCTGTCTGATTTAATATTTTAACTGCAAGGATCATTTCTGAAAAACATGCACGTTTCGGGTACTCCAAAAATACTCCAAAAGATACTTGCAAAATAGTTACTTTTTTTTGTCTCAAGAGTCCTACGTGTCAGAAGAAAAGGTCTTGATTTATAATAATTAAGGTGGCATCGACGTGTGGTGCCATAACTAGCGAGGGACCCCTTAAGGAGGTTTGGGAGTATCATTGAATTGAATTGAATTGAATTTATTGTTTTAAAGAGCTAAGGGCTACAGCCCTTGATAGCTCGGCTTATATCATTCAGAGAGGCGAGGAACGGGGAGTCCCCCCTTACCGCGCACCTTCTCTTGCACTCTACAAACTTGAAACTGCAGTTTGTGCGACTGTAACTGCTTATATTTTTGAAAAATGCCTGGCAAGGCTTGATTTTTTTTTGTCGAGCAACTTCTTTTTATACCAAGTTATCTGTGAAAAGGTTTTTTTTTATTCCAATACATATAGAATAATACCTTAATTTCAATTAAAAAGCAAACCTAACCTTGTTCTCTCATAAGAGATCGTGTTAAACTGTCAATATTTCATAATTTTTTTCTCGAAAATTTCCACTGGCAAAAAATTTTAAAAAATTCATGTGAACTTCTTACATGCTCAAATATAACATACATTTTTTTTGGCAAGTTTCATCATTTTGAACTTTTCTCCCAAACCTCTTTAAAGGTATATAAATATTTTTTTAAAGTTAAAGTTACTTTTTTTTTAATTATACATCATTTCTTTAATGTACGTATTGCAACTACTTTGAAAACAATAAAATATTGTCAAAAGGAAAATTAGACTTCCTTATTATCATCTGCGTATTTGTAGAGGACGACCGATCACTTTTTTTTGAATTTTTGTATTAATAGATTACGAGCAAAAAACTCGTATTTAATTATAATAATTTGATTGTTTGTTTAAGGTTTATCGCGTACATTCAGAATTATAGTTAAATTTGTGATGATTTACATAAGGCTAGGAGTTAAAATAGTAATTTTTTAAAACCAATTTTTTCGAAAATTACAACAATGACCTCAGTATTTCTTTATTGCAAATAAATTTGACATGTGTTACCAACATTATTTTTCAGTTTCAATCATTTGAAACATTGGAAATCAAATAATATAATTAAAAAAAATTAATTATTGCAAACAAAGGCCTTTTCCAATATGAGAGTTTTCGTGAAAACTAAGTACCAACTATCAAAAACTTATTTACGCTTAATATATATATTTTTGAACGTTAGCCAAAGTATTCAATTGATATTATTGAAAAAAGTAATACGTCACTGGACTGCTGCCTTTATTAAATCCCAATATAAAGTGGTATATATACCATATATGCAAAGTCCAAACGGTAGGGGACACTATCCCTTCACTTCAACCCTAAGCTCTGTTCAACCTATACTACTGAGGAATACTAAACTTAAATACAAAATTATTTATAGTGTTGTCAGAAAAAAGGTTAAAAGTTTCAAGTAATGAACTAATTTTTTGACTGTACTAGCCATCATTATTATTATTTTTTTTTTTTATTACATAAATACTTTTATATATATATAAATTTTTTTTTTTAATTTTACCTACTCACCTATAGTACAAATAATTAAATGAATTAATGAGCTGCATCTACTAAAACAATGAAAATCTTTATTCTGCAACAATATTGAGTTAAAAAATAAAATAGTAAGTAATAGACTAATATATGATTTGTTCATTTTTGTTAACAGAAATCGTATTACCATGAAAAAGAACAAATGCAACTTTCAACCTCGCCCCCCCCCCCTTTTGCAATAAGGTAGTGTACAGAATTTTATGAAGAATTTCAATGAAACAGAGATAACGTAGCAGATAATCCGCATGACTTTTTTGGTACAAGAAAATCTGTTATAAGCACACGCTTACTGGATTAATAGTCCTCAAACTTAATTCCAAGTTAAAAATTTACAAATGAAATTTTGAAAATTCGTAAACACCACTCGGTTGTGTATTTTTACATTATGTAGACTGTATTATAAACATCTAATGTCATCCATAAGAAATTCGCTAAAAAATTCACTACAGCATAAAGGACGTTGAAAGACAAAAGCCAACCATACAAAAAAGTATTGTAAAAATAATTTTTAATCCATCTACACCAGCATCCTCCCAGCTGCAGAGTATATATAAATATTTTCTTTAAGAGAATATGGTGTTTACAACTATCAAAAATATTAGTGACTCTGAATGGATAAGAGTAACCAGTAAATTTGGATGAATTACTTTCTCCAACCATCGAACTCAAAACTCATGTTTTCTTACACCAGGGCTAATGTACTTACTCTAAAGTTTTACACAAGATGTAACCTTGACAGGCACAAACTTATAAACGGTGTTCAGCTCTTATTCCAATGTAATGGCTGTAGCAACAAGTTTGCTTGGAAAATGAATCTAAACATGTGTACTTGCATCCATACCAGCAAATACATCAGTGAAACTTGTGTCAAGTACTTTATCCTTAAATGTCTTGATAACCATATCCGTACGCTTAGAGTTAAAAGTCCTTATGGATACAAAAACTCTTTTAAAAATATGTTAACCATGACAGTTATTGCTGGTAAGCATATGCTTTCTTACACTGACAATATTAGTTAAGTGTGCCTCTTACTGTTTGTACTTTAGTTTAGTGAAACGACTACAATTTGTAGGAATATTGAAAAATAAAACTATTGGCAATTACCATATTACTATCTCAAAGTTTAAAAGAGATACCATTATGTCTCTCAAAACTCAGGCTTTAAAGAATATATATTTATGCATCAATGTGTAACTAAATTAACTATGGCTCCTATAACTATGACTCTGTCATTTTGTACATGTACTTTTTTTTTTCATTTTTATTCATGGTTTTTGGTTGAATACTCTTCATAGCGTTAATTAGTGTAAAATGGCTGTGGAAAATCAAACTTTGTAAAACGATTTCAATGTATGCTAATCCATAAAAAAATAAAATATAAGTTTGTCAAAAATTTAATTTTACATTTATTTCACCTAATTTCCTAGTACGACTCACTCCTCAAGATACATCTTTAGAACTCAATTATGATCTTGTAACAAATGTGTCCTTCGATATGATAAAAGAATATTGCTAAGAAAGATGTGAAATTTTCCATAATACTAATGAAGTGATGCCTCAAAGCAAGACTTTCAATTCGAATTTTTTCAACTTTGTAAAAACTTTTACAATGGGATACTTAGTTTTGATTTAAAAGACAAACTGCGGACACTATAATATAGTCATTAATTTTCAAAACGTGCATTTTTAAAGCAAAAGGGGGAATTGAGGTAATACACTTCTTCGTGGCTACAGCTTGGAGGAGCTCTGAGCTCTCACCTTAAACAAGTCCAATGAATATTAATCATTCAAACTTAGAATGCATTTTAAGAACAATGCATTTCTCTCGCTTAAAGGCAAATTTTCATAAGATTCGAAAGGACCTTGCTGTTACATGACAACGAATAAAATCTCAAGCAATGATACATTTAAGTATTCAATATTAGAAAAACAATGAAAAAACTCACTTTCTCGTGTAATCCTTCAAAGCACTTCACAGCCAGCAATGCTGTTCAGCTTGAATTTCTATTATCCATCAACGTACACAAATCATCATCACATTTGGTATACACAATAAATTTACTCTGTATTATTAATAAGATGTTCTCACGACACAAAGTAAGTAATAATTAATTACTTATTTGCTTCTTGACTTGAACAGCATGTGTTATTATACTTGGAACTCGGAACTTACAGCAGGTAAGTGAGGGAACAAAGAATGAAAGAACAATAATTTTCCGAGAGTGCCGAGTTCAAAACAACAGAAGCAGAATAGCGGCATTGTTCAGTAAAATCGCCCTACTCATATGTAGTTCGGGGACTTACAAGGGCCGCTTTTAAACGTAAGCACGTAAACAAAGTGTAAAGTACTAGAGTAAAATACTTGATACATTCGGAACAGATGCGTTACAAATTACAAATTTCAATTGGGGTATATTTTGTTTTGTGCAATAAAAATACGTACCTAGACTTCATACTTTGTTGGTCATGTTATTATGTCAAACGAAATTAAGTATAAAGATAGATAAAACATAAAAAATAATTTTTGCACTCTTCTATATTTTTCCTTAAATAAATTGTTCGTTTTCATTGACAAATTCCTCGATTGATTCAAAACGTTTTACATGTAAATACGGTATGGCGAATAGTATAGGTATCCAACTTACCAATGGCGGTCGGTACAAACAATCATGTACGGCTTTTATCCCTTGCGCAACCGCATTTAGCCGTTGAATTTTCGTTTACCTCGAACTTGGACCTTGTTATTTTTAACCTAGCCGTTCTCGTCATGACGGTTTTTTTCATTTCGAACGCGAAAATTCGAGAAGACGCTTCTCACACAAACCACGAATGTGGTAATACCTTCCTTCAGTACTTCAACCCGTGCATATGGAGTAATTGGATCTCGCTTATTCAGTTTTACAAGAGTTGAGTATTTTGTAAGTAAAAATTCATCAAGTGCCTGAGAGATGTTTACGTAAGCTGTTCCTATATAATATACTAGCGCACTTTATTTTCAGTTGCCACCCTCGTTTTATTTTTTGGAAACGTTTTTCGTTTACCTGTTGCCTGTTATAATAAACGGTATTGGACGAGTAAGAATGCAATATTCTTCATCACCATAAATATATAGGTACCTATAGGTGAAACTTCTGTTGTAAAATCTTTGATATTCAACTTAACTAGCCACTCGGTCATCTTTTTCTCGATGCTTTTAACTTATGATCCCAAATAATGCAATGATAAACGAGTATGTCATAATTTTTGTTTGCAGTGTTACAAGGGAATTTTGACGTGTACTCGAGTAAACAATTTAGTGATGCCTCAGTTGCAGACCGTTGACACAACTCATAAACATCCATATGAGTGCAAGAAATGTGGAAAATCATTTACCTATGGCAGTAGTTATTACAGGCATGTTGTCGAACACTCTGGTAAACGTCCCTACAGTTGCAAGGTGTGTGACAAGACCTTCACCACCCAGCAAAATCTCACCAGACACATGAGAACCCACACCGGTGAGCGTCCGTACCTTTGCTTGATGTGTGATAAAACCTTCGTCGACAGAAGTAATTTAAATTATCACATGGATTCACACAGCAAGGTACGTTGCTACAAGTGCGAGCAATGTGAGAAATCTTTTACTTCGTTGTACAAACTGAAGCGTCACAGGCGCTGCCACGCCAATAACAAAATTTACAAGTGTGAGATGTGTGAGAAGAGATTCTCCGACAAGTCCAATTGTAACCAGCACATGCGTTATCACGCTCTTGATCAGCGTTATAGATGCAATATTTGCAAAAAAACATTTCCTTTCAAGAGTACTCTTGATGCCCACGTGGCCCAACACTCTGACAAGCCTGACTATCGATGTAAAAGTTGTTTTAAAGGATTCGAATGTGAACGCAATTTGATTGAGCACATTCGTGGACACAAAGTTGAACAGCTTTTCACTTGTTACCATTGCAACGATATTTTCTATAGGAAAATTCTACTCATTAGGCACATCCGGCGACAGCACATGCCTGAAATTGTTGACGTTGCCAATAACGTTGAAAGAGAGTACACTTGCTACCACTGCAAAAAAGTTTTTACCAAGAGAGACAATATTGCTTACCATATCAAGCGTTGCCACATAAATGACAAAGATCTTCGTCCGTTTAAGTGTTTTTATTGCAACAAATTCTTTCGAAGGAGAGAGGATATCGTCAAGCATATTCAAAAAGTACATATGGCAGAGATTATCAGTCGGAAGTAGTGTAATTTTGGTGCCATGCTGTACATGTGATTTTAGAGAATAGTTTTTTCTTGTGTTCCTGATATTTTTGAGGATATGTATAGGTTTCAATCATTTAAAAAGTTATTTATAGTCGATAAGGTGATAGATTATGTCCTCAAAATGTCGTTTTTTTAAAAGTTTTTTAAACAATTTAATTTTAAACTATTTACCATTTTAATGTTTTTAGACTGCATCGGTTTACCTCTTTTTACAACTTTTTATTTTACTTTTTGTTGACAACTCTATGTCGATAGATTTTCTACGGATTCCTGCAGAAAATCACTTTAATACTTCAAAATCAACAGTGGATCATGTTATTTAATCACAATTTTTTTTAAAAAGAAAGTACTTTAAAACATCAGTTATTGAATAACTGCTGCTTCATAACAAAGATTAGCTGACTACTAACCAACGACAGAATTACATATATTTCCACTGTTGATTTTTGATCATTGAAGAAAAAGTAACCAAAAGACTAATAGCATAATAAAAAAAAATCTGTGTTAACTAGTTTCTAAACACAATAGAGAATACGTATAGGAAGTTTTAAATTATAGTTTTATAGAAACATGTGTTTGGCTTTTATATCTGTTTTATTCACTGACTATGTACACATAATTGTATGAAAGTAGCTATAGTTTTCTTTTTAAGTTTTTTAATGTATTTCTTGTAGGTAAACGAAAAATTTTATGAATGTACCACGAAAAAATTAAAAATGAAATATTTTAAAAATCACTAATATACTACCAATCACTGAAACGTATACAGCAAACTGATCAAATTATTCAGTGGATAATAAAATTAAAAAGCAGTATTTATGCTGGCCTATACCAAAGTTGTAAGTATAATATTTTCAAATGCATTTTGGCATCACCAGGATTTAAGTACAATTACAAGTTGTAATTCCCGCGGGACGCTTTTTTTCTTACCGGCCGAACTTTTTCTACCTTGCCCTACTTCTGAAGATAATTAAATTTTAGCCAAGTCGAAATAACCTATATCCATCAGCTGTGTGTGTGTATAGCTGCTGTAAGTCAGGCCAAGTACATGTTTACTACCTTTTTTTCAAAAATTGTGAAAAAACTCTTAGCAAAGATTCACTGATTTTCAACAGGTAATCACTTCAGTATGTAGTAGATGTACAAACAAAATCAGCACGTTTTAAATGTTTGCATAATTATGTGCTGAGACCTGAGGGCAAAAAACGTGTTTAAGAGGTAGCTTGAGCCATAATTAGATCATAAGATGGATCTTATCTTTTTGTGATTGAAAACTGAAATGTTAGTTGGTTTTTCAAACTTTCATTTTTCCACTCAATTGCCACTCAGGGTACTAGGTATATAGTCCACTAGAGAGAGGTTCACCTTTGGCTAATCACGAATAGAAAAAAGTTGAAGTGCTTCAGTACGTCAGGTGAGTTTGTTATTGTTGAAAGTTTGCAAATAGTTTAGGGACGTTGTTTTTTTGCTCATTTATATTCTTATACGGATTGCAATGTTTTTACCGTTTTAACGCCAAGTAAATGGTGTTAAATTTTGAACAAGTATTTTTGCATTTTTACTCCACACCACGAAATTTTCACCACTTAGATGTTACGAAATTTCAGATAAGAACGAGAATTTCGTATAATTGATGTATTATACTTCGTCAACACTTGTAGGCCACTGCAAAGAAAATTTTCATTCATCAACCAGTTGTAACAGGTATTTGTGGAATGTTAATGCCAGAAGCTCTTTTGTTACAATAATGAGAGTACATAAGTGTTTTTTGCATAGAGAGCGGATTCAAGATGCCAGGATTCGTGCGTTTTCATGAACATTCGAGTTCACCTCAGCGCCATCAAGGTTCATTTGAGAGATATTTGCAGGAGTCTACCAACCATCCCCTCTTTGAATGTGACTTCTGCGGAAAAACTTTTAATAACAAAGATAATCTAACTGTGCACATACTCGAGCACATAAATAATCAACTTGTGGAACGTGAAACGGTTGATTTAAACGAGGAAGGTCTTGGACAGGCGCCCAAACGTCGGTATGAATGTTACTTGTGTAATAAAAGTTATACAAGTAAACAAAATCTTAAGCTGCACATCCATGTTCACACTGAAGAACGTCCGTACGAGTGCCAAATTTGTCATAAAGCGTTTAATAATAAAAGAACACTAAAAATGCACACATACGTACACACGGAGGAACGTCGGTACAGGTGCCAAATCTGTGATAAAGCATTTAATTGGAAACCTAGTCTCCAAAGGCACACATATTTACACACCGAGTATCGTCCTTACAAGTGCAATATTTGCAACAAATCTTATACAAGCAACGGATCGCTCAATTTACACTTCCGACTGCATACTGACAAAGTTTCGTTCAAGTGTTTTGTGTGCGATAAATCCTTCAACTCTAAATATTATCTTAAGAACCACGTGTCTATACACACCGGTACAAGTCCTTACAAATGCCAAATTTGTGAGAAATTTTTGACTTCTAAAGCTTCTCTTGCATATCATTTTCAAACCCATACCAGATAAGAAACTTTTTTGATACATACAGTTTCCTATGCTCCTTAAAATTATCTCGAAATATATGCATGCACAAATACCGAAAAATATCTTAATTGTTATTAGTAATGTAAGTTGTTTGCAACCAGCAACACTTTGTCAAGATGCACTTATGAAAACATACTGTAAAACACTTTTATTCATGTAACTCTTAGCTGCAGAACGTAGTTTTAATGAATACATACGTTTAAACGCAGAATAGATTCTCCCTATGCTGAGAGTCTCTTGAGTAAAAGTTAATATGCCTCAACGGTTACTCTTAAACAGAGACCGGCTGACGCTGTCAAAATTTGATATTTGTCACATTTGTACATATGAATACTTACATGCCTAAAAATATTTTCATAGCTTAAATGAGTAGAGATAAATAATCCTCCACTGATATTTGTTTTCTCTCATTCGTTATTTTTTGTGTTCTATCACAGGTTTAAGGTGGTCATATAGGCATGCAATCAAATAAAAGTGTTTTACAGAATGCACATTTATGAAGTCCAGACAATGGGCTCGCATGTTCTACTTTTTTAAGTTGGTAAATTTATATGTACACTGACATAATGCAGTTGCAGTGCACCTGCTGTTTTTCTTAGTTATCCTAAATATTACGAACAAGTAAATCTTAAATCAATTATTATACAGATCATGTGCTCAGACTGCTCTTGATGAATTACACCAACTCAACAACATGAGAATAGTAATAGCAGTGAAAACGAAGATTAACAGTCAGAGTATACATCAAATATAATTTACAAGTTTTTAATAACTTTTATTTATAAACTTTTCACACAAATTACAACTTATCTTCTATACTAAAGTATGAATTTTGATGTTTACCGATTACTTATGTAGTATCTTTATTGCTTTGAGTACCTTTTATGCTTAGTTTATATTGTATATCTTTATATATGATGGACAAATGCATGCAATTTTAAATTATAATAAGCCCTTTTAAAAATAAAGTATTGAACTTCTTCATTTTTTTTATTCATTGAATGTCTCAATGAAGTGATGCGTAAATCTTCTTGTCCAATTCCAACGTACAGTTATAAAAAATCTGCTTTGTGTAAGCGAATTATGTTAAACTAGTTTAAAAAATTTGTATGTCAATCGTCAATGAAAATGTATTGCTGCATGTAACATTAATTGTTTTGTTCTTCCCAATAAATTTACAAAATCTAATTTTGTATACTTATGTGTGCTAATAACGTTGTACAATATTTATTCTATTCACCAGTTTTATAACATATCAAGTCATTCACTCATTTTACTGAAATCTTTGACCACCTCAACTTGATTCAATTACAATATTCGAGTTTGTGGTTATTGGTACTTTATTTTGGACTAACATTAAAATGCATATCTTTTATCAAATCCAATGAAAACTTAATGAATGCAAGTGTGTTCGTGTGTGTGTATATGGCAATTCAGGTAGTTTAAAAACAGTGGTATAGGATTAAGGACAGAGACGTAGTACAGGCGAGATAACGGAAGAGCTCATTAATTGAAAAAAAAAGAAAAAAAAATTAACCCCCTTTTAGTACGGAATACTTCATACATCCTTTGTTTCTTGAAAAGCTGTATTAAAATAAAAATTAATTCCCACTAATGAATTAAAAAAAAAAAAAATAAGATGTTTGAAAAACCAAGTTCGACATGAAAACAAATTAATGTAGCAACGTGCGTTGAAAATATAATATAATATACTATTCTACAAGTCGGTGGTAAATACAGATTTTTCCAAAACTGTTTTTGTGGGAAAAAGTTCATATTGAACCTTGGCTTCTTCTTCTTCTTAGAGGGTTTTGGTGGCTCCAGTTTGGCTGCTTGTTAGCAGCGTAATCCGAACGGCCATTAACGAAACTGATTGAACCTCGGCTGTTTCGGGACGATTTTTTTCATGGAATCTTCCTTCAAAGTGATTCCAGGATTTTTTCCTTGCCCCATACAGGTCTTCGGGTTTGGGTGTACTTACATGTGAAACAGTGTTAGAGCTATTCGAACTTTGAAATATAGAGGCCCCGTGCCTGCCTGTCTGGAGCCGTACCATATAACTTTTTTTTAGCTTCGCGGGCCTATGTTATAACATAGGCCGATGTACAGAAAAATAGTTATATGGACGACGCCCGGCCCGTGGCCCGTGGCTAAGATTTTAGTTTCAGTTATTGCCATATGATGCTTTCTTACATAATAGAATGGCGCTAAATTTTCGTACTTTTCATTGAAACACACGTGAAATGGTTAAGGTTTTAGTTTCAACTTCAGCCACTTCATTCACATTTATGCCATTTATGTGGGCTCTTCGGCGCTAATAGTTGCGGCTTACCTCAGGGGTTAGTGCATGATGCATGGTGTAAGAATATAAGGTGTGGCGTTCCGACTGTTCCGAGGTCTCATTTTCGTGCCGCTCTGCACCTTCCTTTACGACGCCATATTTGGTCGTAAGCCCCAGTAGGCTCCAGGAACTCCGCGAATGACTTTCGAATGACTTTTGAATGACTTTTACATATATATATATATATAGCTGCAGAGAAGGCTTTGTTTGCAATGACTGAAATAATTATTTTACATTGTTTTTCTGTTAGTTTTACAATAATGCAATAGATAATCATCATCGACAATTAAATTGCAAACGATTAAAGTAAGTTTCATAGCCGTATATGGAGTATTTGAGCCAGACAACGTACTTATCCGGACTCTCGCTGGACCATTTAGTTTTTATTTTTTTGTATACAACCGGAAGATCCGACAATTTTTTGCAAAGTGATTGCAAACGTTGCTAACGATTCCGCAATTTTGGGTATTTTTTTCATGTCCCAATTCGAAAATTATTCGCGGAGTTCCTGGAGCCACCCCAGTAACGTAAGAAATTGCGATCTAGGTTGGTGTCATTTATTACAATTTTTGACGTGTCTAAAATTCAATTTGCGACACGTAATAAATGACACGGCCATCCCTGCCTTCGGCCTTACCGGCGAAGAGTGGTCCCTGAACCTGAAACATGAGGCTTCATTAGGGTGCCTGTACATGGAAAACCTGCTGTCTAGCAACTGACACACAAAGCTCTCTCTGGTCTCCTAAGAGTGAGAGAGAGATTAGATGTGATCACGTGATGAACCTCTCTCTCTCACTCTCATGAGACCAGAGAGCTACAGCAGAGAAAGGAACGTGTTTCTATTCGCTACGTGCACAAGCTGAAAAAGCGATCGCAGCAATACCTGTGCTAATATGTGAAACTAAACGATAGGTTTGTCTTCTGCTAGCAGACTGCTAAGCATTACTATCATCAGAAAGTTATGTGTTTATACATCGACAACCATTCTAAGGATTAAATTTTTAATAAAATTATGAGTAGTATGTACATATTTTACTCAGGCATGTTCATTAAAAAACGCAGTGAAATACATTGGATACTGTGTATTTCTTAGAGTTTTTAGCTGGGGCCTGATCCTCTAAGCGTATCGTATGAACGTGTGTACATACTGTGTGAACACGCCGGTATAAGGCTAACGGAGCTCTCTGATTGGTCAGAGGAGGTCTGTGTTGACTACATTGCAAACTAATAAGCATATCTCGTATCACACAGTACACACGGACATACTCAAACGCTTATAGTGCTTGTAGTACAAATTTTGTCTTTAGTTATTCACATAGGATTGTACCACTTGAGACATTGTATTAATTCGTGATATAATAAACACAGAACCTTTCGTGTATCTATCGAGGTATACTGCGTTCCTATAGGTATCAAGCACATATCGCGAATATTGCCTTCTGCTGTGCCAGACCAATAGTTCTCGTTTTTCCCTAGGATGGCGCTGCTTCAAAATTGTGCACGTAGCGAATATTCTCTGGCTACAGGCACCCTTAGCCTCGATCTAATCCTGCGGCAGAAAGTGCCAGCTTAACCGGCGAGGAGTGGATACCCTAAAATACAGAGTATCCTTCGTAGAAAAACCACTCAGTGGCGAGTGGACCCGATGTACCATTGGTGCATACAGTGTCAGTTTAACTGACTAGGTGTTCCACTAAAGATATTCCCACTGTGCCCATAGTATGATAGCTGGTATCATATCGGTTAGGATATTAGTGTGACACCCTCACACATGAATCGTGAGTCGGTAGCCCCGGCAACTGCGCGAGTAAGCTGTCACAACCCGGTAAAAAAAATATAACAAAGTATGGATCACCTTATGTTTGTGTGAATAAAATAAAATTTATTTATCGCTTGATAAGAGTGCCATATACGTACAAGGAACTTTATAATGTTTATTTTTGCATTTGCATCGAAGGTTACAGGCACAGCTTAGTCGCTTGAATATTTTACCGTTGTACCTACCTATAATATTTCGTCACACACTAACTTTCAAACGTACCCTATATACAGCTTCGCCAATTTAATACCACTTTTTCGTAGAGCACATATTTTTTTAAAACGGCAATAAATATTTCACACCTAAAAGAAAACTCTAAAAAATTAATAAAGTTAGTTTCCTCCTCGT